GGACCGACATCATATTGAACTCTGGGTTAGGAATGGGATGGCACTTCAGTTCATAGTAGGAGTCAAGGCAGGTGAGCCAATACTTTTGGTAATATAGTGATATCTGCAATACACATCCAGCTCCAAGTGTTTAAATGTTAAAATGGCTTACCATAAGTACTGACATGTCTGCGTTGTGGATGTATTTCAATATATCTAAAAAAGACCCATGGATAGGGATTCACAAAACGTGTATTGTGGAAATTTCTAAAGTCTGAGAGTCTGTCAGCACAGATCTATTTGGAACCCCTGCACTCGTCGAGAGAAAGCCTCAAATAATAATAATAATAGGAAGGCTATTCTGTTCTGACTTCCTATGTGACTATCAGTTTATTTTATTTCTCTGACCGACATGATGAAACACATTTGAACAAATGAGGTCACATCACTGTTTCTTACGTCCAATCAGGTTGTCCACGGTGATTTTGCTGAGGTCCAGAGGAGGAGCCACGTCCACCACAATCGGACTATTGGGGATCAGATCTCCTCCAAACTTTACAAAGATTTCCAACTCCCCCTGCAGGACAATCAGCGACAGTGTTAGACAGGAACCATGTAACAAGCTGGAAATATTGGGATTGTATGTTGTAGGGCTGTAATCTCCCAAGTCCACTAGTTGATTTTTCAATCAATGCATTCTGGTTTGACTTGAATTCTGATTAGTCGATTTTTTTTTTTTGGGTCACAGATGCGTGAAAATCTATTTGAATGGAGTCATTTATGACGGTGACTGCCCGTATTATTGACGCAGAGGCAAAAGAAATAGAAGTGGCACGCCGCTGCATGTTTCATGTTTCTATTTGTTCTGAGTAGACCTTCCTTATTGTTACGTACTTCCGTTCGTTTTTGTTCAAAATCTGTCTCGAAAACCTCTTTACGCACATTTATTGATAGCATTATTGTTGGATGATTTGAGCAGTTTATTTTTAGCCTAATCATTAGGCTGAAAAATAAACTGCTCAAATCATTAGGCCCTAATGTGCCCTGATGTGCAATTGTGCTGTGTCCTTGCACAAAGCGAGACTGACCAGGTAGGTGTTTGAATTACGGTAATGTAACAAAAACAATAACATAAATATTCCTCAACAGTTCTAGTACTGATATCACTGGTTAACATATTTTTGGAAATCAGGGATTATGATGTCGCGCAGATGTGCACGTGATGCAAAACAATGTCAGAGACAGATACAAGTGTGAAATTAATTATTTTAAATTATAATTCATTTCAGTGAAAAATAATTCGGTCGAAAATCTAATTTAGTATAACGCAACGTTTATTCAGTCGAAATTTTCCACTGGTTGTGTCGGCCACAACTTTCTTGAATTGATTACAGCCCCAGTATGTTGGTCATATGATCCAACTGTTGCGTGACCAACCTGTTGGACAGGTGTGTATTTTACAGTGTAGGAGTAGTCATAGTTATCAATAATGTCAAAGTCTTCGACTGATCCAGAGAATGACACATGTAAAGGAGCTTTTCCAGCACCTCGGGTCAGAACCTTGAAGTGGGTCAGTTTTCCTGTCTCCACACCTGAGCCAGAGACAGAATAGTGAGGAATAACGTCAGCTAACAGAGTGACACATTGAACTGATTTATGAGAGAACTACACAATTTACCACCTAAAAGTCAAAACCAAAGTCCATAGAGCAGTGGTTGCGATGATTTTAGGTGACAGAACAAAGTCCATAGAGAAAATCAATGATTTTAGTTCACAGACCAAAGTCCATATAGAAAATCAATGATTTTAGTTCTCAAACCAAAGTCCATAGAGAAAATCAGTGATTTTAGCTCAGACCAAAGTCCATAGAGAAAATCAATGATTTTAGCTCAGACCAAAGTCCATAGAGAAAATCAATGATTTTAGCTCAGACCAAAGTCCATAGAGAAAATCAATGATTTTAGCTCAGACCAAAGTCCA